TTCTACCTTTGGCTTTTTACTCGCACGCCCCTACCCTGTGACCCCGCGACCCCACGGGGACTGGAGAAGCCGAGCTCGCGATGAAGCTTACCGGCGGTGGATAGAGAGATGATGTGGAGGGGTTCGCGCGAGAGGAAGCGACAGGTGCGGGAAATGAAGCGGAAGAGGGAGTCGCAGTGGATGATAGCATCGAAAGCTGGAAGGGGGGGAGTGGAGGTAGCGATGGGCGGCGGCATGCCATGGTTTTAGGGCTCTAGCTTTGCATTTCGTCTTCTAACTAGAGAAGAGAGGGGACCATGATTTTTCTGGCAATGTATTGCACTCAAATCTTAAATATTCAAGTGTCAAAATATATTGAAGCCTCAAAATATCCTTCCTTGCCGGACTTATATCCTAAAAGACTGTCTTTTCTTCTTCCCTCAATCAAATTTCGAGATCCTCTTTGGTTGGAAAAGAATGGTGAAAATAATTAAATGGATCTTGCTTATTTTGTGCTTGCTTGTAGGATCAATAAATAAAGAACTAACATTTATGAAGAAAACTACACCAGATAAATAAAATTGAACCTAAAATGAATTTTAAGAGTAAACAAATTGTAGAAGAACATTTTTAACCTTATTTTGCAAATAGATTTTTAGTCATATTACTAAACAAATTGAATCAACACCTTACGCTGTCTTATATCCCCACCGCAAAACATGAATTAAGATCAGTTAGTTTCAGGGGGTAAAATGGTCATTTTTACAGAAACAGCTGCCCTTCCACACAGCTGCATCGGCACTTCGCCTAAAAATGAAAATGTGAAGTTACAGTTTCGGGTAGGAACGGAGTGGAAGGGGGTGAAAGATGATAGTTTCGGGTCTCTGTACGCAGCGATCCCCTCGTTGCCTTCCATTTTAACTCTTATCGCGAATGTATCACGAGGGTTCGGTCCCTGAGACGATGGTTTTGGGTGAAGCTGGGGAGGGGGTAGGGACATAATCGAGGGTTTTACGCAAGAGGGGGACAGTGTTTTGGAAACCGGGAGAGGGGCAGACTGCATGGTGAGGGTTTCCCGCAGAGACGGCAACGGCAGAGGTTTCTGATTTTAATTGAATTATATATTGACATACACAGCACCTGAAAGATTATTATTTATAAAATCTAAACACCCAGTTATATATTGGAACTATCTGACATGTTTGCCTTGTTATCATTAAACAATTGAGAATTTAGTAAAAATAAAAAAATAAAAAATATGTGTTGAGGTTTTATAAAATACATGAAAGAAAGTGCTGAATTTATAAATATTAATATTTTTTAGTTATAAGTGTGGGCGGCTCCGTACTGTTTGGTTTGCACGTTTTATCAGCTTATCTGAAACTGCGTTTGAGATTTCACACTAAATGCAGACCGCTGGTCAACCCCTGCGGCCGGCCCGCGGGCCGTGTTTCAGAATAAACAGTTTATCCTGAAACGTACAAACTGCCCTAAACAGACTATTAGAGTTATGTATTTAATTGCCCCTATTTGTTTTGAAGTAGTTTTATTAATTTAATTATTTAATAATTAATTTATATATTATCAAATTAATTAAAATTAAATAAATTTATTTGTAATTGTTAAATAATTATATAATAAATAAAAATATTTTATTATTCAAATTATTTAATAAAATTATTAAATAAAATTTAAATTCAATTTAATGAAATTTAATAATTAATTTTTGTTATAATAATAAACTAATTAATGCTTAATTATGAGAAATTGATTTAAAAGAATTGAATTTATTAAATGTGTAATCAAATAATTTTTGAAATTTTAACACGACATTTATTAAATTTAAATTTATAAATTATTAAATTAACTAACTTGGATCTAGTCCCACATTCCCATGTGACCGGCCGAGGTTTCTTAGGATGAAAGAAAAAGAAGAGAATCAATTACCTGCACACGTTTAGGGCTTCGTACTTCGAACTTTGCATTCGTGCTGACTGAAGTGGTAGAAAAAGGCCCTACGAACCGCACCGAATTCTGAACAGTTAACGCCTCCGAATCGATTGTCTGAGAAATCTCATCCACCTTCACCAGCTGGGTGAGGCTCCCCGCCCCCAGCAGCGGAAAAAGCCCCACAAAGGACGTGTACCTGCCCTAATCCAACATCAATCGACACCAAAACATAACCTAATTGCAGAACACACACACACACACAGGGGAAGCAATTTCATCTTACGCGAGGATCCACTTGCCGTTGAGCAAGCTTAGGGCTTCGGTAGGAGCAGGAGTAGGATTCTTGGCCTCGAGCTGTGAGATGATCTCATTAACCTCCGCCCTCGTCTCGCTCGTCGCTTTCAATCCCCGATCCGTTCCGAATAATTGATCGATGAGCTTTCGCTTGAGCTCAGGAATCACGGAAGCCGCACCGTTCGTCTCCTCCTCAACCACTGCCAAACCCCCAAGCGCTCCCTTCAGAGCCTTTTTCTCGCTCCCCAGCTCGTCGTCTGCGACAGCCTGCACCAGGAAGGAAGGCCGCGTTGGCCGATGACAGATTGTAATTACCTGAGGCTTCCTCACATGAGAAACTCGGCAAGCAGAAACGACAGAAAGTGGCGGAGGACTAAGGCGCGCCGGCGCTGCTGAAACAGCAGCCGGCAAACCGTTCGTGGCGAGAGAATTCCATAACGCAACACTCGACATCTCCACTTCTCCTTGAGAACCAAAGTGCCGACTCAATTTCCGCAACTGTAAACTTGTAGTTGGAAGGAACCTATTTATAGTAAACAGAAATTAAAGCCCCGGAAGGAGAATTGTCGACTGCCTATATTTTCTTAAAGGATTTTTTTATTTACAAAACTTGATAGTTGTAGCAATTGGCGCAATTAGGTACACGCCAT